TATTCATGTGATGCAAAGCTGAAATTTCAGTGTCACATGATGCTTCAGAAATCACTCATGCTGAAAACAGTTGTGCTGATTAATATTTTTGTGGAAACCATGATACATTTTTTTCAGGATTAATAGAAAGTAAAGTTGTAAAACATTATAAATATTTACTTTCATTTTTGATCAATTCAAGGCATCCTTGCAGACCCCTGATTCATTTTTGAATGGTAGTGTATATAATTTTATAATGAACTAATATGGTAAATTTAAAGCAGTTTGTATAAGTGAGAACTTAGTTCACTTAAAAATGATGATTTATTATCTCATTCCAAATGCATTTGAATCTCTTCCTTTCATGGAACACAAAAGGAAGTATTTTGCAGAATGTTCAAGCTGTTTTTTGGACAAAGCAAAAGCGGATAATAGCCAGAAAGTGTTCTAAAGACATCTGATTGTCTGCTTTCATGTATGGAAAAGAGCAGCGTGAACATTAGACAAAACATCTCCTTTTGTGTTCTATGGAAATAAAAGGTCATACAGGTTTGAAAAGACATAAGGGTGACAAATCACTTTTTTTTGCATGAAATATCCAAGGGCCAAAAGTTAATGGTGTTTGGCCATTGTCTCTGTCTCTCCTTTAGGATGCTGTCCCGTTTTTCGTTAATGCCACAGCGGGTACCACAGTGCAGGGCGCCTTTGATCCTCTGAACCGCATAGCTGAAATAAGTGAAAGAAACGGCATGTGGATGCACGTTGACGTAAGTGCACCACGTTTACCTTATGTAACAGCATTGTGCAACACGTCTATATGCATGTGGCCCCCACTTTAAAAGTATCCAGTTGTTTGCACATTTTCACCCGTTTCTAACCGTTACAATCTGGATCTCTCTTTTTTACAGGCCGCATGGGGAGGAAGCGTGCTGTTTTCCAAAAAACATAAACATCTGGTTGCAGGAATAGAAAGGTTTGAACACTGTGATCTGGTTAGAGGAGTAGCCCATTTTTGACTATATCATTTAATGTTTTTTTTTTAACACTCAGAGCAAACTCTGTGACTTGGAACCCTCACAAAATGCTTCTAGCGGGATTGCAGTGCTCTGTGGTTTTGTTCAGAGACACCACGGTATGAATGCTTATGGAATGTAGCAATCCATCTATCTTTTCTTTTACTTCAAACCCCGTGCAAGTCAATTCATGCAATGTTTTTGCTTATTAGTCAAGTGAACGTATTACTGTATATTGACTTGCCCACAAGTGCAACTCGCTGCTCCTAATTTTATCTCCCCCATCTCAATCTGTAGAATCTGTTAATGAACTGTCACAGTGCTAAGGCAACCTACTTATTCCAGCAAGACAAGTTCTACGATACAAGTCTAGACACGGGAGACAAATCCATCCAGTGTGGCCGCAAGGTGGATTGTTTGAAGCTGTGGTTGATGTGGAAGGCAATAGGAACACATGGGCTTTCAGAGCGAGTGGAGAAGGCCTTTGCCCTTTCAAGGTATTTGATGCATCTGTTAGATGTTGTTGTTGTTGATTAATATACTATCAATCTTTTTAATGTTGCATTTTGTTAAACACTATTGACTTGTATCATTAAATGCATTGCAGTATATTATTAGATTTTAAATAACTGTTTTCTGTTTCAACATATTCTAAAATGTAATTTATTTCTGTAATGCAAAGCTGCATATTCAGCATCATTATTCCTGTCTTCCTTCAGATATCATTTTGATATGCTGATTTCCACGAAACAGTTATTATTATTGTCAGTGCTGAGCACAGTTTGGTGCTCAATATTTTAAACCTTAATATACCGTTACTGTATTACAGTATTATACTTATATATATATATATATATATATATATATATATATAT